GTGCCAGGCACTGTCATAGAAACTAGAGGTGTATATCTATATAGAGATATAAATATGAAGAGATATATCTCTTCATGAATATGATCCAATTTCAACTAAAGTAACAACAGTTAACAAGTCATTGACAATCTCTCCTAAAAAGTTTCAGAWTAGGCTTAAAAGTTTTCCTTTGAATATAAGAAATTCTCATTATCAAAAGAAAACTGACACMAGAAAAGACTACTACTCAAAGTAACACATTTAAAATGAGAATCAAAACTTCATGGTAAATAATGGAGTAAAAAGGATTGATTGAACTTTTAATGTAAAATAAAAATATTACAGAAATAAGTTTATATAAACTTACAGAAAACAATTTAGTTTGAAATTTTAACATGCTAATTCTTAGAACAAAGAATGCAGTATAATTTTTCCAACAAAATTTTAAGAGAATACAACTTTATTTGACTATTGCAGGATGATCATAAAGACAATTTTCACAAAAATATTTGAGGATTACATCAAGTTTCTTAACCCATCATTTCCCAKCATCCAATAATGGGTTGTCACTCTCTTAATCCTTTAATACTGAAGTCACTGTCTTTGAAAGCACTTGATCATATTACCATCCTTAGTTTTCTCTTCAATTAATAGGTCTAACTCTCTATCCACGTGATATTTGTCATTGACTTTGTATGAGACTTTTCTTGGGATAAACTGAAAAAATATTATAAAATTCATTGGCAAAAATTAAATCAACTAAAAATAAAATATATGACTATTAAAAAAATGCCAGGATAATTCTGAAAAAGCAGAGTAATAAGGAGGCATTTTTCATGTCACATAAAAAACAGTATTATAAATTCTCTCATATTGTTCTCTAGCTCATAAAACAGGTTTTGAGGGGCTGGCGATATAGCTCTGTAACTCAGAGGTAGAGTACTTGCCTAGCATGAATGAGGTCCTGGGTTCAATACATAGCACTGAAGAAAGAAGGAAAGAAAAAGAGAAACTGGGTACCATGGGGCACACCTATTATCCCAGCTACTTGGGACACAGGATTGCAAGTTAGAGGCCAGGCTGGGTAACTCAGCAAAACCTGTCTCAAAATTAAAAGAGGGGTGGGGTATAGTCAGCCTAGCATACTTGAAAAATGTTCAATTCCCAGGACTGCAAAAAAAAAAA